GAGGTGACAATGGGGTGGCCCAGTTCAGAGACCCCACAAGCTACCATGGACCCTTCCTATAGCTCCTTCTTCCACGACCAGTTAGAATTTGGTTTTCCTTAAAAATCTCATTTCCTATATAACCTTCTGGCTTTTCACACAGGTGACATTGTCTCCTTCACTAGATATAGTTTAAAAGCTTCCTTGATTCCTACACATTTATTACCTGTGGTTCTGTGTTTTAATAGTAGCCGGAATTTGGCGTTCTTGGTGCTTAACACCCACCACCAGTGAAAATAAGAACAAAGACACAGATGTGAAACAAGCATGTGGTGTAGGGTGTTTGTGCTTTAATAAATTATCTTCACCCGACTTAAGAGCTTCCAGCTGCTTCCCTTTGGTTTGAGCTGATCAGTGATAGTGTGAATTACATTCAGTGCTTTTCCATTATCTGTGCGGGAAGCTGCATTTTCGTACCAGATGAGTGTCCTGTCTGAGTACCCACATCCTGTCTGGTTTCTGTGTCGCTTTCCTACCCACCCTGGCTGCATTCTTTGCCCAGGTGTGGTGGGGACAATGCCTGCCTGGCACATGGCTAACATCTGTCAGCGTTAGACATTGAGTTATTGAGTTTCTTCTTTATTGGTTATGTGAGCAGAAAGCCTGATCTTGGGTTGCCTACCCGCCCCAAGAATAAATTTCACAAAGGCACTGTGTCACATTAGTCCTCTGACGTATTGCTGACCCACATATTAACATTTAGTTTAGACTATTAGTTAGCATTTCTGTCTAGTCCAGTGCTTCTTAACCTGTTGGTCAAGACCCCTTTCACAGGGGCCAACTCAGACTATCAGAAAGCACAAATATTTATAACAGTAGCAAAATTACAGTTAGGAGGTAGCACTGAAAATAATTTTATGGTTGGGAGTCACCACAACATGAAGAACTGTGTGAAAGGCTCACAACATTAGGAAGGTTGAGAACCACTGGCCTAGGCGGAACCTGGGGTTGGATCTTAGTTGCCACAGATGGTCCACTCCATGGTTTCTCTAACGTGTTTTCCAAGCGAGCACACACACTGGAATGCACACGAGGAGGCAATGGGTGTCCTAGTGGGACCGCTGCTCTCCAGTGCTTCCTGTTCTGATTCTCCTTCTTAAAAATCTGTATTGACTAATTTATACAATGCGTATATGTCGGTGCCCACATGCTGTAGCACACATGTGGAGGACTCTGCTCTCTGTTTGTAACATATGGGTCCCAAGAAGATGAGGGCGGCATGGCCCTAATCTGTTAAGCCATTTTCTAGTCCTTCTGTTAAGATTTTCCCGTTTTAGTCATTCCAGTAGACATATGGTGACATACACTGTGACTTTAAATTGCTTTTCCTGTTAACTGTTGAGGCTGACAGCCTTTTGAGAAACAGCCGTCCCTCCCCATCCCCTGGGGTATTGTTGGTCGCAGATCTTCCCCGCACTCGTCCCAGAATCTCCCGGATGCTCAGGTCAGATGGTGCAGCATTTGATGTCACCTTCACAGCGTTCCCGTGCACTTAAAACCACAGCTCGGTAACACAGAGTACCTAACACCCTAAACGCTCTGACCACAGCTGCCACACTGCGCTGTTGAAGAAACACTGATGAGAAGGGTGTTCTGTCCACTCTTCAGTATCGGTACAGCCCTTTTGTTCCACATACTTTTTTAATCTGTTGGTTGGCTGAATCTGAAAGACACAGGCACAGAGGGCCAACGGTACTAGTCACACGAACAGCCCCTTTCAGGAGTGCTTGTTCAAGGCTCTTGCCCCTTCTCCATGTGTCGTGGTTTTGGAGGCCCTAGCAGTGAAGAGACGTGCAGCAAACATCTGCCTGTGGGCCGCTTTCTCCCTGTTGACAGTGTCTGTGGACACAGAGAATCTCAATTCTCATGTGGCCCATCATCTCAACCCTTGTTTTAGCAGCTAATAAATAGCTTCTTAGGTCTAGGGCAGTGCTTCTCAACCTTCCCAATGCTGTGACCCTTTAAGACAGTTCCTCATGTGGTGATGATCCCCAACCATGAAATTATTTTATTGTTACTTCATGTCTGGAATTTTACTACTCTTATGGATCATAATGTAAACATCTGTGTTTTGGTGGTCTCAGGTGACCCCTGTGAAAGGGTCATTCAACCCCCAAAAGGGTAGCAACGCACAGCTTGTGAACCGCCAGTCTGAGGAGTCTTTTTCCCTACCTTGTACAAATATCCTGTGCTGTCCAAGCTTGCTGTTGATGCTGCCTGTTGGTCTCCCTGGGGTTGGTCTGAGGGTAGCCTCTGTAAGGGAGTGCTCAGGCCTCGTGTTCCGACCTCCTGAAAGTCCATCCCCTGCTTCGCCCTAGCTTTGAGCACTGGCTTCTGACTCTTACTCCTCACACAGACATGCTGCTGTGGCTTTGAGTGCAGAGTACTAAAAAGCGAGTCTCCTCCGCATCTGTTGCAGATGACCGCATCACTGTGCTGTTCCAGCATCGCAGTGCTACCCTGGACAGTGAACTGCGGGGCAGGCCAGAAGACACATCCCCGTGGGATGTTCTCCCTGACTCCATGACATTTTCAAATTTGAAATGAATTTGCCTATAGAATTGGCTGTATAGATGAGTTTAAAAGAATCAATATCCTCAGTTCTAATTATTTGAGTCTCTTGGGTCCTCTTAAGTCTGTTCTTTGTAGAAACTTTGCACATCACTTTTTTAGGATTTTTCCCCAACTCTATTTTTTTTTTTAATTCTTCCAAATGGTATCTTAAAAATTTAATTTTTTAACCCAGGCTGGTATAAACATATATTAGCTTAGTCACTCTGATAAAAGCCCTTTGGACTGTCGTCTGGAAGTCATTTGGGCCTTGCTGTGCCCTCCGTATCCTCTATTGCATTCTCGTCTTTCCTGGTTTCTCGCCATGTCCGTGGTGAAAAGGAACATCCACTGCATGTCCTGGAGGCCACTGCACAGGTCACAGGTCTGGGCACATGCCCCTCAAACAGGAAGTTATTAGAAAGCTGAAAGTGCACTCAGAGGGAGTTCTTGGACCACCCAAGTCCAAGGTAGGGAGCTTTGCCACTTCCAAAGAGCCCGTTACATGCATGTTGCCGACTCAGTTCTTTCCTTTCTAAAAGGAAGACATTTAGTTCCTTAACTAGAACTTGTACCCTAGTTCAGAGATGTCTCAGGATCCGTTGTTGAGAGCTACATCTAGTCTTAGCTAGCCCCAGGCTCTGATTGGCTGGCCTTTCGGCTCTGCAGGCCCTGGTCTATCGCATACTCTCTGAAATCATCGGCTATGTACTCAGGCTACTGTATGTCCCAGATTGCAGTATTGAGCTGCACAGTGACCCGCAGGTAAAATCAGAAGACGTGTGTTGTTGCTGTTGCATGGTGGGTGGTCTCCATGGGCTTCTGCTACTTCTGTCCCACAGTGCTTAGCCCAGCATGACCCCTCCGGCTCTCATCTTCTAGCAGTGGTCAAATGGTCCTTTCCCATTCAGGATGGTGGTTGCCCCGGATGATCTTCCAGGACCAGTCCTGGCCAGGGATTTCTCACCCCAGCCTTCTCCTTCATTCTCTCAGGGATCCTGGAGCCATGGGAAATTCTCTCTTCTTTCTTTAGAGCATCGACTTTGGCCTTTCTCTTCCAGAGCTTTGGCCTGTTTGAAGCATATGGAACATAGATTTGTGAGGCATAACAGGGATCCAGTGTTGACTTTGAACCATGATTGTTTTAGGCTGTGCTAGACCCAAGTCTGATTTCTCCACCAAACTGTGCCCCACATATAATGATGGCTGCATCCACACACCCTTCATGCCTGGTACCTGGTTGGAACTGAAGAAAGATGAGTGACATGGGGTGTTCCAGAATCTCTTTGGTGTGGGCCTATGGATGGCCCTGCTCTGGTGGGGTTCCTGCTTTAACCAGAGAGTCTGTGAGAGATGAAGAGCATGCAAAGACACTGCTCCATGGGGAACAGGACCCAAGTGGTAGACAGGGCTCCTGAATGGGAGATACAGCTCTGTGCCTGTAATGTCAGGATTCAGCTCAGCTCTTAAGCTTAGCCTGTTTCCACATTAAAGATAGTATAGATCTTGAAATCCATAGCTTACAAATGAGGGCATTTGAGAAAGATGTATGTGCTGACATGCATGTGTATATCAGGGCACATTTTATTACAGTGGGACTCAGTGAAACTTAGCCCACTGCTAGAAAGAGAAGGGGCGCGCCATGGATTCCAGACCAGGCCCAGGAATCGCCTCCAGAGCAAGACGGAAGGGCTGAGCCCACTGGTCCCAGCCTTGTCATTTTTTGCCGAGACACTTGAGTGACAGCTGAACAGGTCGTTTAGAATGCTCTCTGAAATCAAATCTGTTTGAGTCCCAAACATCGTTCTAATGTTAACTGTGGCTGGCAAGAGCATTGAATTGCAGAAATCTCCCTTGGCCCGGATGGCCTCGAGGACCTACATACATTGTGAGTCTCTCAAGGAGAATGAAGCAGCTAATCAGCTTTGTCGGCTTCTGCTGCCATGGCCTCATGCAGCCTGATGTGGGCAGTGAGCTGTTAAACACAATAAATCAACTCTGTTTGCCCTTCCCCACCCCACATCCCTTCTAGACAGCTGAGGCCCTGGGTGCAGCCCTGGACAGAGCACAGCTAATGAGAGCAGGCCAGAGCCACTGGCCTTGACGGCACTCACCATGGTTGCGTGGTCACAGATGTGTGGCTGGCGGTGCTCGGCATCGTTGTCTTTGTGAGAGCTCTGATAATGAGGGACTCGGGAAGTGGCACCCACAGCAAAGTGATTGCTGGTGCAAGATCCAGGAGGCCTGTTCTCCATTTCCACATTTCCCCTGAAGTCTCCTTCCCCTCTGAGAAAAACCTCTCCATCAGGATATTTAAAATGTTGTGATCGCTTTCTTCCAGTCTGAAGCACCGGGTTCCTAGCTTTCACTTTTGAGCTGTGTGGAAATGATGCATGACTGGCCTACTGGGGGTCAAGAGCCTGGCCTGGGGACTGCCTGCTGGCTCTCTTCCTAGCACCATCTTGTTCCATGTGAAGCAGAGGTGAATATGCTATTGGGCGAGGGCGGGAAGTGTGTATACACAGACTCACACGCCCCAAGCCCGCTTGGGTGCAGCAGCTGAGCAGCAGTTCTTGTTACAGTAATATTTACGCTACAGCAATATTTACTCTACTAGCATTGTTGATTTGACTGTTATTTAAAAGAATGATTTAGGCAATTTGGTTCTTCAGAATTTCACTGTAGTCTTTCTGGTTATAAATAGAATTTTGCCATTTTAATCTGTAGAGAAATCAAGGGAAGGCTTGGCTCTCGTCAAAATGTGCAACATACTCCTTTTTCCTTCCTACTGACCCACTGTGCCTTCTGGGAGGAATGTGTGGAGCAGCTGCTGAAGAACCGTGATGTCAGGGACAGACTGGGAACTCAGCCACTGGCTTCTAGCCCGGACACAGAGGCGGCCCTGCCCAAAGGTCAGCACTGAAAGCTCTGACAGCAGCACTGCCCTTGGATATGAGGAGCACTGAGGGACGCCATGGAAAGACTCTACCCTATGCTTTCCTTTTCCTTTTTTTTTTTTTTTTTTTTTTTTTTAATTCTGTTAGTTGTCCAAGGAGGTGATGGCCAGTAGGTCTAAACATAAAGGAAGGGGAAGGACATAAAGGAAGGACAAGGCCTGGGGTGTCATGAATGCAAACATAGAGGAAAAAGAATCCTCTGGAGAGGAAGGACAAGGGTGTGAGGACTTCAGCTATCACTCTTTCCTGTCTCTGTCAGCTCATCCTGGCCCTGAAGGCACATTTAGTGCCAGGCAAGAGAAGACTCTGGGCTCTCACAGAGGAAGAGCTTGAGAAAGCCATCACTTATTTGCTATTGCGTGCCACCCCCAGGATGAGGCTCTGCGTGTGAGGATCTGACTGCACGCAATACAGCAAAACCTCTGACAAAAATAATCATGGAGAATGGCCCTCCTCCTCCTCCTCCTCCTCCTCCTCCTCCTCCTCCTCCTCCTCCTCCTCCTCACCCAGCACCCTGCTGTGATATTGTTCTGCTGTGTGTTTTTGTGTGTGTACTGGACACTTGACAGCACATGTTGGCACAACAGAATGTCACTGCAAAACCTCTTGAGGTTGCACTGACATTGGGACTCTAGCAACCAGGAGGCCCTGGGCCTGGCCACCCTGAACTTCCACCTAAGATTTATGCAACATTGATAGGCATATGATAGTGCTCAGAGTAGCCACACTTGACATAAAAAGCCAACAATCTCGACCTACGGTGGGAGAAATGATTGGTAGATACTACAAGGACAGCCCCATGACAGACTGACCAGAGAGGTCAGGTACTAGGAGCCAGAACTTACCTTTTTTAAATAAATGTAAAGACAAAACATTCTACAGGAAATACAAGGTGTAAAAAGTGAAGATTTTAGAACTGAAACAAAACAAAACAAAAACCTAACAACCAAAGTAATGTAGTGTGTGGAGTCATAGCAGAATAGAGGCAGCAGGGGCAGCCTATGACATGGGGACAAACCAGTGCCAGGAAACCAGCCTGGTGGATATAGAACAGATGGGAGGAACTGAATAGTCTGAGACTATGGAACATTACAAAAGATAGGCATAGTTTGTTGTTCCTGTGGATTGTTCACTTATTGGCCTGTAGTATGTTCACACAGACTATTATGCCAATATTTCAAGGCCTACTAGTTTTAAATAATTGAAATCGTATGAAATTTACTTTCTAGTCAGAATGGAATTAAAATGCATGTCAGCATCCATATACTTGAAAAATCAAACCACATACCTCTACATAATGTAATGGTCAAAGAAATAGCAACGGAAATTGGTAGTTTGGACGGTAAAAAATAATAATGCATTAAAGTTTTTCAGAGTAAATATCAGTAAGTCCAGCCTCTAGAAAGACTGAGGAATGCTTCATTGGGAAAGACAAAAGGGCAAACAGTCCTGAGTTTCCACCTGTGGAAATTTAAAACCAAAGCAACCATGCAGAAGGAAGGAAAGGATAAAATAGAGCCCAAAGCCAAGGCTTTCACAGTGGAGCAGCTCAAACGAGAGAGGAAAGCAGTCATTACATTACAAGAACTTGAAAGATTCCCATAGGGTGTTATTTTAGGGATTGGGATCAGGATAGTTTTCCTGGTCCTGTTTACCGGACTTGGGAAGACCCCTTTCCTTCCTCAGCATGCCTTCTCTCCTTCCTGAAAATGCCTGGATTCACACTTCAGGTTGAGCCTTAAGGTGCGGGAATGGTGACTTGGAGGCACAGGGCCAGATTCCCAGGTGTCCTGCCAAGACTTGCCGGGGCCTCTGGTTCTAATGGGCCGGGGCATCGTGTTTCTGATGCCACGTGCTCTACCCCACCATGGCTGAGCCTGTCTCTCACAGAACCCCCACACTTCAAGCCTGTGCCTCTTCCACTGTACACTAACCCCAGCAAACCCTCAGTGAGTAGATCTTGAAGCTATGAACAGGTGAATGCTCTGGGGGCCATGGAGACATATCTGTGATGACTGGCTCACTGCATCAGACACTAAAATCCAGTGTCCCTTTTATAAAATGTGGCAGTATTGCATATACCATTTGCATTTCCTTCTGTATGTTTGTTATCTTCACAATATATGGATACAGCACAAATGTTATATAGTTTTTATGCCATAGCATTTGGAAATAGTGATAAGAAATATCCGTGGGTGTTCAAGGCAGACAAAAGTAACATGGGAGAATGTTCCAGCTGTGCACTAGGGAGACCGAGACTCTGAGCAGTAAGGCCTAGCAGATATGGTCTCAGAACGCTGCTAGGCATGTGGCAAATTCAAGTCTCACCTTGGGGAACCTTTTGAGAATTCCCAGAATGAGAGGTTTCAAATTGCAGTTGCTTAAATCCAAGAATGTAGCTGGAATCCATGGGTATGAGGGACCCTGTAATCTTGGATGTGTATGAGTCTCGAGGGCAGAAATCCTTGAGTTCTGATTTCAGAGTGTTCTGTGAAGCCAGACATTGAGTTGGATTCAGTATTCATGGTATGTGTTGTCTGTTCTTTAAATACGTTTTGAACTCCTTTGGCCCAGGAGTAGGATTTAGTGATGAATGAAGGCCACTGCTGTGGTTTGGGTGCGGCATGAGTGATTCTCCCAGTGTTGGAAACTTGGTCTTCAATGGAGCAGTGTTGAGGTGGCAGTGTTGAGGGATCTGTAATAGGGGGCCCTGGTGCAAGGCAGTTGGGTTATGGGGTACCACCACTAGTAGGGATTGATGGAGGCACCCCAGAGTTAAGTCTTTGAGAACAGTTTGTGAAGGGTGGCCATCGTAGCCTTCTTGGCTTGTGGCCATTTTCCCTTCTGCCATATCTTGAGGCAGCCAGAGGCCTTCACCAAGATGCCAACTTTTTGCTGTTTGGAACTTCCATCCATCAGCATCACGAGCCAAGGCAGGCCTCTTTTGCTCTAGAAAGTATCAGTTCAGTGTGTGTTACAGCGACACAAACCAGACTAACTCAGAGAACACAAGCTCTCTGCCTCCACGGTGGGGAAGAGTGTGTGGTAGGTTGGATGACTGGCCAACACAGGAAGGTCTGGTGACGGTAACAGGCCCAGTAAAATGGGGATGCTGAGAGTGCCCTTCTATAGAAGTCCCTGAGACATAGGTAGGAGAACCCAGCCATCCCCCAAAGGGAGACAGCAAGCTGGGTCAGAGTAGGGGCACAGCAGATAAGACCTTGCGGACAGGCAGGTAACTCTAGGCTGAGCTGCGTGGGTGTGGGAAGACGCGTGAGCAGTCCAGTGAGAGGGTGGTGTGGTCTCACCTGGAGTAGTAAGGGATCAAGCCTTCCATGCCCCACCACGTGCTTCAGGGCAAGAGTCCTGGGAGCTAAGGGTGCAGCTCAGTGCTTGTCCAACACGGAGTCTGTTCTTGACCGTGTGCTACAGAACACAACAGGATCAAGTTTGGCCTCTGGTGTTGTCCGTACGGGTTTCCTACGTTTGCATCTGACTTTCTTATTTTAAAACCCTTGTATGGATACTAAAATGTGTTAAATGCTTTTCTGTTAAACGCAACTCTCTGTTTCTTTCCTCTGTTAATTTTGTGTGGTGCACTGGTTAATTTCTAAAGCCTGTCATTACTGGAAGATTGGCTACTATGCATAATTATTGTCATATGTCGCTAAGTCCTGTTCATTAGTGTTCTCTGTTAATAAAATGACTCAGTCAAGCAAATTAATATATCCGTCGCCTCATATACTTGCCATTTTGTGGTGAGCTCATTCACTACACGTCAGTGATTTTCAAAATATGGAGCTATGAACACTGTGGAATTGTGAACACGGACGACCATGGCATGGGAAACATGATAAGCAGGCCTTCCTCCTGTCTAAAGGTATAAAGATAACTTTATACCTTTAACGAGAATTTCCCAGTCCCCCCATTTTGCCTTTCTATTCTCTGCTTCTTTGAGTTCAGCTTTTTAAAGATTTCACATTTAAGTGAGTTTGTGCAATTTACTTCACTTTATATGATGTCATGCAGGGCCATCCATGTTGGACTGAATGACATGCTTTTTTTGTGGCAGGTTAGTATTCCGTTGTGTATGCGTACAATACTTTTCTTATTAATCATGAGTTGTTGGAATAGTGCTGTGGTGTATATGGAAGTGCAGATGTCTCTGACATATTAATTTCATTTCCTTTAGATCTGTGCCCAAGACTGCAATTTTCAGGTCTATGGTGGTTCTGTTTTTTTTTAAATTTCCATATTGTTTTTCATAATGGTAGAACTAATTACAATTTTACCAGTTATGTGCAGAGTTCTCCTTTCTTCCCTGTTAACATTATTTTAGTCTCTTGATGACAGCCACACTGAAAGGCTTGAGGTGGTGTTTCATTGTGGTTTTCATTTGTAGGTCCCCAATTCTCGTTTTCCTTCTATAGTGAAATGTCTACTAAAGTTCCTGCCAGCCTGTCCTTACCTATTTTGTCATAAGATGTCCTATCTATTTTAGATAACAGCCCACATCAGTGGTTTGGTTTATAGTTATTTTCTCTCTTCTGCTATTTGTTTCCTTTGTTGAGCAGAAGCTTTTAGTTTGATTTAATCTTGTTATCTATTTTTGCTTTTGTTTTCTATGCCTTGGGGAATTATTAAAAAAAAAAATCATTACACATACCAGTGCCACAGAGATTTTTGTCATTTCAAATTTTAGATTTAAGTCTTTTACCCACTGTTTTTGTTTGTTTGTTTGTGTGTGTGTGTGTGTGTGTAATAGTATGTTATAAGAATCCAATTTTATTCTTCAGCACTTGGACACTGTTTTCCCAGCACCTACTCACCGAGGAAGCCACCTTTTTTCTGTGGTCTGTTTCCTGTCGCCAGCATAGGAGCGGTTGTTTTTAATCTACTGTCATTTTTTAAGTTACACTATTTACACTTCATTATTGAGATGTTAGGGCTCAAGTCTCTCATTTCATTTTTAATGTTCTGTTTATTCTTTTACTTATGTGACTTTTAGGGTTTCCTCTTGCCTTCCTGGGAGTTATTAAGCTTTTTTAAAAATTCCATTTCGAATTGTTAATAATTTATGACATCATTTTATCAGTTTGAAGGGAAGGTAGAAAATTTGCCTTCCCTTACCCTGCCCCAAGACACTATTCATATCAGACAGCACAGTAATTTTTACTTTAGTTATTAGAAATAATTTTAGAAACAAGAGAACAGAAGCCTATAGTATTTACTGTCATTTAAAAGCGCTCTTTTTAAAACCATGATTATCAGCACACATTAATTATCCAAACTTATGTGGCGTTCCCTGTGGTTAGTCCATAGGGCTTGTGTGTGTGTGTGTGTGTGTGTGTGTGTTGGTCCTGTCCTTCTCCCCTTCTTTCCACTCACCACATTCTTACCTGCTGTGTTGGCTATCCGTCATACCACTGTTGAGGAAACTTTTGCCCAGCTGTGTTCCTGGACCTGGACCACTCGCAGAGGTTTCTTGGTTTTTCTTCATCCTGAAGTTCTTTCTTCTTTTTGACTCCCAAAAGCCTACTTCTGGACCCCGCAGTTCTCACCTGGCAGCTTTTTCCCCCCTCCAGCTCTGCCTGGTTCCAGTTTCTGCCCATCTCTGCTGTTTCATCGTTAGACCACTGACCTTGCTGCACAGCACTGTTCTACCGTTGCTATTTTTCTTCTACCATGCCTATTCTGTACGTCTTTCATTAATTTGATAAGAATTTTGTCTCTCTGCTGAGCCAATGTCTTCTCATTGGGCAGAACATATCCCCGGGCTAAAGAGATGGCTCAGCGGGTAGGAGTGCTTGCTGTGCAAGCATGAGGAAGTGAGTTTGGATTTCAGCACCAGCAGAAGCTGGATCTGGCCCCATGTCCCCTATAAACCTAGCCCTGAGGAAGGTGGAGAGAGGCAGATCTCTGGGCCTTGCTGGCAGCCTGACTAGCTAAAGAACACACGTTCTGGAGACCCTGCCTCAAAGGAATAAGGTCGAGAGTGATAGAGGAGGGCACCCAGTGTGTTCTTCTGGAGTCCACATGCACAGTACAGAACACACATAGTGCACACACATGCGCACACCACAACACCACACCCAGAATATTTCTGCTTGTTCAGAAGAGCACTTCTATCATGGCTGCTTTACAAATGTCGGCTAGTACTAACCTCTCTGTCAGCTTGGAGTTGGCGTCTGCTCGTTGCCCTTCATCCACCTTGAAGTCTCCATGGGTCTTGTCATGGCAGCTAATTCTCTGTTGAAACTAGAGCATTTGGGCTGTAAGAGCTAAAGCTGGAGACCTCGTGGGAGCCTGCCTTTTCAGCTAGTTTCTCCTGGCTGTGCCCTAGTGGGAAGCTAAAGGGTGGTGGTCCCAGGCTTCTCCTGGTCTTCTGTAGACATCAAGACATGGAGGAACTCCTCACTGCTGAGCCAGAAATCTGTCCCTTGCTGATCCCTCTCTGGCTTTGCAGGATGACATGGTTCCTTCCTGTTCCCCACAGCCTGCACTGCCACCATGAGCCAGGACTCATTGCCCCTGGGATTTGAGTGCCTGATGAGGGCAGGAGGTGCCCCAGCTTGGCTCTGCTTTGAGGAGAGCTTGAATGGACTAGGAGATGCCACTTCAGGGTGCAGCCACACTTACTGCCTCCTACTGATCCTTTGACCGAGGGAGCAGACCTCTGCAGGGCTCTGGTTTCTCTCTCCCCATCAGCAGCTCTAGACTGATGCTTTTTCATCTCCAAGTCAGAGAGACTTAGACAACCTCACTCCCAGTCTACAGAGCATTTGTGCCACCCACTCTGTGACTCTGACACTCTCTCTCTCTCTCTCTCTCTCTCTCTCTCTCTCTCTCTGTGTGTGTGTGTGTGTGTGTGTGTGTGTGTGTGTGTGTGTGTGTGTGT